TTTCATGTAATTCTTGGGCAGAATCGACGAATTCTCCGTCAAAATCAACAAATTTTCCGTCAGAAGACAATGCTGATAAAACCTTTTTGCATTAGTGAAAGTTTTGAGAAAAACGCTAAAAGCACATTTATATGAATATTTTCTGGCCTAACCTTTCCATCTCTTCATCATCGCCAATTTCAACACGTGTCAGTTCTTCGTCACATCTGCCCTGTTCGACATTACATTCGTCTTGCTCACTCGCAACAGTACCATCTATTACTTTTTCTACCACCGAAGCAATCACCTGTTCCTCCGTGAAACATTCAATCATCTCTACTGGTGATTGTGTTGTTGGTTCAAGGTCGATGTCCTAAGAACGTAATTTTTAGAATCAAAAAGATCCCTATATAAGCAAATATGTGAGACAATTTTCTGATTCGATCCATAAATCCTGCGATTTCTCCGTTCTTCAAAATGGCCATATTAGACACTAACATATTACTCCCTGCCCTGTTGCAAGGCGGCAAACTGTTTTACCGGGGATCAAATAAACGGTTGTTTCAGTAGTAACTTAGCAACAGTGGAAAATGAGATCTAAAGTTGGCCGTACTGATCTGCCAGTACAACAATTTTGATATTACACTAATAAAATGGCTGAAAAAGAAACAACCACTACAAAAATGAAAGAAAAAACCCGACTAGACTAGTCAAAAAACTTATTCTATGTTTCTAAACAAAGACAAAATCCTCCCCTACCCACTTTCAGTGAGGGGCGAGGACACTTGGAAGTGACCCAAGTGCCAACACCAAGCATGCGCTGGCTAACATTCGCGAACATTTCCCAGTGGTACCAAGTGTTTTGGAAATTTTTTTTGAAAAATGTAAACTAAGAAAGTTTGTCTGGCACTGTAGGTCAGCCGATGAAAGGGACACAGTCGAATATTGTCAATTGTGAGAAAGCAGTGAGTGCTAATTCAGATACCCAGATAAGCGAGCCTGTATATGCATTATCCATTGGTACCAAATTGTGTAAGAAAATTCAAATAAAAAAGCAAGAAATGTAAAAAACTTATGCAAACCAAAATTTTCATTTTTCTGAAAAACCCGAAAACCAAAAAATTCGATTTCATATTTCCTAAAACTACGTAAAACTTACTTGCTGCGCACATTGGGGAGCAGTAGCATCACTTGGGTCCACGGAAATTTGCATCGGTGAATCTGGGGTGTTGCGTTCTTGAGATATACTATTACGAGTACTGTTATCATTATTGTTAAACCCTGGCGTTTCTTGCATATCTACTAAATCTTCCTGCACTGAATCCTGTGGCATTTCTTCGTCTTCGCTGTCTTTCTGATGTACAACTTGTGGGGGACCAGATTCGCTGCTGCAGCTGACTGGTGGTAGATTGTCGTTAGCTGCTGTTATGAGGGGTTCTTGATTAACTGGTGCGGCGAGTGTTTCCCCTAACGCAGGTTCAGGCTTCAGAACAGCATGATCTTCCCCTGATACGCTGATCTGACATGGTTCTGCTGCTGCTGTTGCCGGAGTATCAGGTGCTACAACGACAGGGGACAATGAGGGGTGGTTGCCCAATCGGGCGAAGACAGCTTGCAGTGCCGAAGCCATTTCTTTGATGCGTTCTGAGTCCAATTTCGTGATGGGTACACAGGAAGTGGAGGAG